GAAGAGAGAGAGAGAGAGAGAGAGAGAGAGAGAGAGAGAGAGAGTATAAAAAAGCTATGTTGTAGAGAGTGTGAAATAGAAACAACTCTCAAGGTTTTTTTTCCTCCCTTGTTGTGAGGGCTTGTATGGAATGTGAATTGATCCTTGGTTTATCTTATGGTGGGAGTTGGTGCAGGTATATCGTGCCAGCAATCCCTCAAACAGACCCCAGCACCCACAAACACACATGCCCATAATTAACTAATTTATTATTTGGGAGAGAGCTAGACTGGCGCCGCTAAATGTTCTGGCTGTTTGTGTTTTCCAGTCGTGAAAGTTTTGACAGAAGAGGAGTCATATAAAAGTCTTTGTTTGAAGGAGTAAATGTTTATTTAGAGTTGTGTTTACTTTACTTTTCCGATCCAGTGGCCATCTGGGTTCTAGCCCTTCGGCCTGTTGATATGGCGAAGAATTTACAGGTTTTTGTCAGCTGTGTTTTGTCGCTGTATACAGTTTTTCTGATATCTGGGGAGGCAAGTAGGTAGGTGCTACACAGGTCGCTCAGTGCACGGCAGGAAAAGAGATGGTGTGATATTGTTTCATCCTGGCAGTCACACAATGGGCAGTCAGTTGGGGTATCCTTGCGGATCCTATTTAGGTAGGAATTCAGTGGGATGTGTTGTGTTCGCAGGCGGAAGATGGTGACTTGTTCTCTTCTACTCAGAGAATTTAGTGCATCTTTTGAGTTGGGAGCAGTCATGTGAGAGGGTTGTGTTTTCAAGAAGCTTTGTTTTGTCTCAACAGTCAAGCCAGGAGTCTGATGAAGTTGCATCTCTGAAGAACCAGATCACAGAACTGGAGGACGAGAAAGGCAACTTGCAGCTGAAGCTGGTGGACTTTGATGAGCAGAAGGCCATGTTAGGTGGGTGGAGAAATTTGGTAATGTTTTTTTTTCCTCAAACGCTTTTCTTTTTCACTACCAGTAGGTCAGACTTCTTTTCTTTACCTCTGTTGTTTCAGTCTGTCTGTCTTGTTTGCTTTTTCCATGTGCGAAATGACTCATTTTGCATTGTTGTGCCTCTGTTTACTCAAATGCAGAAAAAAAAGACTTGTTAAGTCAGCAGGTTCTCTTACCTCAAGTGAAGAAAAAAGAAGAAATGACTTGTGGTGTCAAATACAGTAGAACTTGTCCTTGACAGCCAATCATTGCCCAGGAGAAAAGTGGTTGTCTTAGACAGTTGGACATCTTGGACAGTGCCATTATGATAAAGAAAAATAGCAAGTGATTTTTTGTAGTACAGGTGTTTGTCATGGACAGGTAAGAGCAGATTCGACTGTACTTCTCTTTATGCGAACGAAGAAGAAAGGAAGAGTAAACCACCTCTCTCTCTCTCTCCCCCCCCCCCCCCCTGGGGCGAATTTGGGAAGATTCGGCAACCGCATAGGAACTAACGAGGAGCTCCAGCTGGTGGTGGACACGGTCCATGAGCACAAGGCCTCGGTGCAAGAGGAGCTGGACACAGCCAATCAGCAGAAGGAGAAGCTGAGCCAGATGATCACTGACCTGCAGGCCTCTTTGGACTCGGTAAGTCTCGGGTGAGGGGGTGGGGGGAGGAGGGGGAGGAAAAATGTGAGGGAGGGGGGGGGGGAGGGGAAGGTAAAATACTCTTTTGTTTATTAATTACATCCCCAGCAGTTTTGTGTTACTGTATTGCTCAAATGCCAAAAATGTGCAAAATATTTTTTTACTGCAAGCTCTTAATGTTGTCATTATTTTATTCAGTGGTGAAAAGGGGGGTGGGGGAGACACAAATGAGGGTGACAAGGATGATATCAGACTTCCAGTGTTATGTGTACCAATGCTGCAGCGTCACTTTTATTATTTCACGAACGATTTGATGTTACAAATTTATTTAACAATTATGAAAATCAGGAATTCAAGCCGTGCATTAACCCCCCCCCACCCCAAAGACTCTTTTATATACAGTCCATTTACAATTTAATATGGTGTGTCCTCAGAGCTCCGATGCGCAAGCGTCTGCCCTGCTGGACGCCAAGTCTGTTCTGAGGCAGGTAGAGGAGGAGAGGGATGCGCTCACGGCACAGCTGGAGGAGATGAGGGGCAGGAGGGAAGAGGCCGAAGCTCAGGGCAAGGAGACCACTCTCAAAATGGTGGGTAGAGTGGTACTAGGTGTAGAAGCTCGGGCTGACTCTGTGTTCTTGAGAAAGGCTCTTTACACAAATTTTATCATGATTTTGGCTTGATCTTTTGGTAGATGAATGTTAAATTCGGAGGTGCCTTCTTGTAAATAACCTTACAGTATAGCAAGGGGCGTTAAACCTATCTTGTTTCAAAATTTCAATTTGGTACAGAAGTATCCCTATTAGGGTTTGTTAATAGCTCTGTGGGTGTATTATGTTCGACTGTTGTATAAATGGCCATAGTTCAAACCCAGATAGGGGCATTGTTAAAAGTTTATAAAGCTCTCCTCCTGCTTGACTTTTGTATGAGATGTCAGTTTTTCTTTTGGTGGAGGAAGGGGGGGGGGGTTTCTCCTATTTTTTGTAGGAAAGACACACACATATACAGTAGATGTGATGTCTGTTTTGTTTTCTTTATATTCCTTTAGTTTTGGAAATTCTATCAAAATTCAGTTTTATTCCTGACATACCTACCCTCCTTCCACATTTTATTTGACTGCTATAAGGTACCAATACTAACCATAGAAGTGTTCACGATTTGTGCTTTCCATTCCTTTCCCCTCCCAGCAAGAGCAGCTTGACAAGGTGGTGTCCCTGGAGGCGGAGTCTCGCGACCTCAACAGTCAGCTGGAGGAGAAGGCGGGTCTCCTGTCGGCCCTGGAGGGAGAGAAGGTCACGTTTGAGGTCAGGATGGCTGAGCTGGAGGAGCACAGAGACGGTGAGCTCAAAATGAAATTATTTAATTAGTTTTTGTAAGAGTTTTACAGCACTTGAATGCAAACACACAAAAGGAGGAGGAGAGATCAGGATGATAGATGTTTGATAGGAAATGAGCAAATCACACCAGAATACCTACCCGCAAATGATATTGTATAGGTTTAGAGAAAATTAAGTCGAAGCGAGAGTGTAGAATATTTTTATTCACGCCTTCAACTTTTTGTTCATCGATAGAGCACCATTTAAATGGACTTTTATCTACTACAATGATGCTTTGGGTCAGAGGGTATGAGCCCAGTGGATTTTTGATCAACAACAATCACAACTTGAGCAACATGTCTTTGTAAAAGAAAAAACATTGACATCGTTTTGAAAATGCACAAAGACACTGCAGTAGGAACAGCATGAGGAAGAACATCGGGAAGAATGACAACTTTTTTGATCAGAAAAATAGAACATCTTAAAAGAACACAACAAAACAACATTAAAACATATTGTCATCAGTACAAATAGAAACACAAAAAGTATGTATGGAGACTTTGATATTACAGGAAATTTATGAAATTGCAAAAAAAAACCCTGTTAAAACTATCATCACCATCATCATCATCACTTTTCTTTAAAAGAAATTGAACACCATTTTGAAAGTGTTGCTTCCTCTTTTTTTGTGCCACTAGGTTTGGAAAAAGAAAAGTTGGAGCTGAAGGCAGAGATTGAGGAATGGAAGGAGAAAGTTGAATATGAAAAACAGCCCAACATTGCTTTCGAGCGGGAGAACGAGGAGCTCAAACAAAAGGTTGGTCAAGATGCAGCAAGACTCTTTACTTTTGAATCACATTACCATATTTTTCTTTCTTTTGACTGAATATCCTTATCCTTATCTGCCTCAATAGTAAATGATGATTTCTGTCATTTGTCTTCAGCCGACATAACTGCCATGATATTGTAGGAAAGATCTGCTTGTTGTGGCAAACACAATCATACACTCTCTTAAGCATATTGACAGTGAAGCTTCTAGTGTTGACTTTTTTTGGCAACCTTGAAGCTGGCAAATTGTCATAATTGCATTGAGTTTGCCAATGCATATTTGTAACTAGTTTTTATTGATTGATTAACTATGGGAATGTAGGTTGATTCTCAACCCACTACTGCACCTATATAGTATGAATCTGTGGGGAATGGGGAGGGGGCAGGGAATTATCAAAAAGACCCACTGAACAACACAGAGGAGGGGGCAAGGTCTCTAATGGGGAGATAAAGCATATTAACATTTATCCTCAGATGTACTTTTGAAAAATGTTTTGGTGTGTTGCATTAACTTATTTATTGTACAAGTGTCTGACTTTGAAAGACACTCCTGCCTTGAAAGACTTACCCCCCCCTTTTTTTTAAAAGAGAAATTTTAAAAGCACTTTTCCCCCCTTTTTTGGAAGAGCTGCTCTTTAGAAAATTTTTTTTTTAGCCCTTCCTCCCCCTGCCTGCTTATTTTCTGTTGTTATAAACTGTTTTGAAAAAATATTTTCCCCCTTTTTCAAGTCTTTTTTCTTTTTGAACACTTTGAAAGACCTTTTTAAAAAAATCCTTTCCCTCCTTCCTTTTGAACAAAAAACCCCATACTTTCCTCCCACCTTTGAAAGACAACCTCCCTCCCCACCTTTGAAAGTGCTTCCCCCTCTCTTCATGAAACCTATTTGCTTCTGAAAGGGTGTTAATTCCACTAAAGAGGGCACACATGAGACAGTGTATTTCCATACTGTTCATACTTTCCTTCTCCAGATCACAGAGCTCTCCGAGTCGTTAGAAAACGAGCGTGTGCTCACGAAGGAGCAGAAGGGCGAAATGAACGAGTTAACCTCGAAGTTTTCGGATCTAGAGGCCTGCATGCAGGAATCCGCGCGGGATCTGGAGCAAACCAAAGAAAAGCTGAGCTCTGTGGAGCGGGAGAAAGTAAGTTGAGTTTTCTGGACTCACCCCTCCGCTTGCAACCCCTTTTTGTTTTCTCGTTTGAGTTTCCGTGTTGTTGTGACCAGTACACATTTTAGGTAACCGAGGCAGAATTTTGTGTTGAATATTGATTTTCTGTTCATATTTTTACGGAGTAAATGATTTGCAGTACTAAAAAGTGCCAATCGGTTGAGAAAGTCTTATGTACTCAAGAAATCATTGTAGAGTTTGCTGGAAGTGAATGACGTAAAAGATTTTTTCGTAAAATGAAAAAATTATATTTTTTTCGAACGTATACTGAGATATTTTATTCTCTTCACTTATTTCATATATTTTGCATTTTATAGGGTCTTTTTGTGATTTGGCATCCATGATAGTCTTGGACTAGTTGAGGAACTGTTGACTTGAATTTAGTCATTGTAATGACAACAGCAGACTTTCCCCTTTGATAGCAATACATTTTAAAATATGCAAGTACTCTTTACTTTTTGTCTTTGTGAGCTCTAAATTTGTAATTATTTTATCCATTGGTAGAGTACAGAAGGAGAAGAGCATGATATTATTCCTCCCCACTTCCCTTCCTCAAATCAAAATGGCTTAGAACTACTTTTTATGGTTAGACCTGTCTTTACAATGAGATATGCTATAAACTTGTACAATTTTTTACCTGGGGGAAGACTTTCTACTTGTCTTTTCATTAGAAAAGTGCAAGCTGTCTTTTACCCCATCTGTCCCATCAACATCTTCAATTTTTCCTTATGTCGTTAATCATATTGTCTTAACCCTTCCTGCCCCAGCCGTTTTTGTGCACTCCCTAACCCCAGTCCCAGCCTACTACGCAGTATTTCAGAAAAAGAGGCATGCATTCTGAAAGAGATTTAGTATCTTTGTAACGAGATTTAGATAATAAACGTATATAACAATTTATAAAGGTAAATGAACAATTATCATGAAAATAAAAGTTTAATTAGGTTCACTAATTTTGAAAAATGCGCAAGTTCAGTATTCCCCACAACTGAGAATATACACTCTTGGGACGGAGGGAGGTTCAAGCGCTGCTGAAAATATATGCGCATTGGGCTGGAAGGGTTAACATATAAGTGAGGTGGAAAAAAAAAAGAAAAAGAATTAACTTTGTCAGCTACCCCTCTCTCCCCCCCCACACAGTGCTGTATTGTTTTATTTGAAATTTAAGGAACTGTTTTGGTCACAGGAAGGTATTGGTTATTGAGAAAAAAAGCTTATTTGAGAAATGACAGCAGGTTTTGTTGTTTTTTTCATTAAAGGTTTTGTGTGTAAAGAGGTTGTCTGCTGAATAAAACGTTCATTTAAAATGTGGTTAAAATTTCAGTCCAACTGCTTTTCACCTGCACCTTCTATAAATGGTGTTGACAGAAGTTTTAATGTTTACCAGATGATTTTCCATTCTGTCCCTAAAAATCGCTTCAATAAAGTCTATAATTGTGTATTCTAGGAAAGCTGCAAATCAGCTGTTTAGAAATTTATAATTTTACTAAAAAGGATCATTTGGTCTAAAACTTATTATTATGTTGCCAGGGAAGTTAAGTCTTTTTCAATTCTAAAAAGTCAGTGTCTCTTTATTGTAGGATTAGGTCGAGGAGATTCTAACACACTTGTTGGTTATTTTGACGACATGTGTTGTTTTACGCATGTTGTCCATCCTTTATTTGTGTGAAAATTTTGTCTTTGCTGGCTACTCATACTCTGTTCATTCCAGAGTGATACTATATATAGCTTGTTGCCGATGAAGCATGGTTGATTCTTATTGGTATGTTTTCCAAATGCATGCCCAGGTCTGATTGGCCAGTTGAATGCAGATGAATAGTACTCATAGTCTTTATCTCTCAAAAAGCCTACATTTTTTCAATGTTTCTTGTCTTCTTTCTCTTCGAAATGTCAGGAAAAGGGCTATAAACGTAACGTTTACAATACCTGATTTCATAGCTCGAGCAGCTAACTTATTCTTTCCAAAGTCTTAACGGCTATTTGAATGTCGAAGAAGAAGAAGCGGAGAAAAGATTCAAAGCTTTAGTCTCACATGATGCGTGCTATTTCACAGCTCCTTCTTTCTGCTAATTCTTGTAAAAATCTGAAAAGACAGTCAGACATCAAAGAAAAAGTTCATAGCCATTATAATAAAGTTAGTTTGAAAAGTGATACATGGCTTATTCACGTCACTGGATGCATAAGGTGATTCATAGCATTGACTTCCAACTAGTTCTTACCATTCTTTATAATGATGAAGAAGTTTCAAAATGTCAGTCTCTCATAGATAATTTCTTGTCTTCTATTTTTTTCTTATTCTACTCAAAGTCTAAATGAAAGAGAAGAAGAATACTGATAGCCGTGTTTCCACAAACTACATGAGTCGTTTCATTGCTCCTGCATCTAATTCCTGTCACCAGTCCGAACCGCAAGTTGAATGCAGTGGATGAAGAAAACAATATCTTTGTCTTGCTTTTTGCTAAGTTGATTCATTTCTAACCAAAGTCTTGATTTTGAAAAGAAAATTCAACGTCTTGATCTCACATGATGCTTGAGTTGTTTCTAATCTTTTTCTAGTCTCTTGTAAGTTTTGTGTTTTGTCTTTCTAAATGGTTTGTTAGTACTGAAAAAAATTCTACCGTATTTCTATTTTTGTAAGTTCTTATTAGTTTGGCCTGTCTGAACAGCCTGTCGAACGTTGAAGAAAAAGTTGCAAAAAGCTTTCTTTTCACATTGTGCTCGAGTGGTGTCATTACTTTTTCTACAATGAATCCTGTCTAAATGGCCATTCAAACTTAGAAAAAGCAGTTTTCAAGTTGTCTCCCTTTTGTGAGTTGACTCCTCCTGTCCCCTGTGTCCCATAGGTTGTTTTTTTTGTCTTCATGACCTGTTGAATACTAAAAGAAAACAGAGAGGTTCATTACTTTTTTGTGCTCCAAACTATTTAGTATTGATGAAGTAAATGTTGAGTGAAAAAGGTACACACTTTATAGCAAACTTGGATTGCAGTATATTTTTTTAAACTAATAGAAACAAGGAAAGAAACACTGAAATGAAGATATTTTCACACTTATCAGTTTGAGTTTTTGTTTGTTTTACCTCCACTTTTTTCCACATTGAGATCCCATCTTTTGTAATTTGTGGTAACCTTTTCGAGTAAAGGTGTTAACATATTATTATGTTAAGGTTGTGCACTTTTGATAAATTGGAATTCTTAGGTTTATGTTTTACAGTGTGTTTCAATTCAGTCAAGTCAATGACTGGCTTTTTGATATTTTTACTATTTTTATTGAAACAGATGAATCCTTTGATAAATTGATTTTAAAGAACAAATTTTGTTTCGAGCTTAAAGGAGAGATTTTTCTTTAAAAGAAATATATTGTAGATAAAGGACAATCAGGCAGCCCAGTGAATGCTCATCTTATGATCAAAGTGTGCAAAAGACTAAGCACCTTTATGATTTTGTGCACTTTCTCATTTAAGAATTCTTGCATTCTTTTAGAAATTCATTTTTATTGTTCCCTTTATCAACCTGTTGGTCTGAATATCAAGGAACTAAGTTGATGGGGTTGTGAAAACACAAACATTCAAAAGAAAAACAAACAAGCAAGGAACTAACTTTTTAGCCTACCTTCTGTTGTGTTCCTCACAATGTTAAAAATATGATAGTAATTGGGCATTCTTAATCGCATAACTTTGGCATGGCATTCATTGTTTTTCAAGAGGCTAATTAAAGCCAGATTGTTGACTAAATATAGGCTCCTACTTCTTTTGAAAATTATTTCAGTTTTCTTTCACTTAGTCCTATTTGACCCTTTCCCAGAACAACTCTCTTTTACACTGAATGCAGTTCTGAATAGACACTTTCATCTTACTACATGTAGTTTCAAGTTTTTGAAACGTAAACCCACACTGACACCTGTGGTAATCTCTGCCTACTTCTGTTGTTCTTCTGTTCTTTGTGTTTCAGTGCGGATATTTTGCTGGTTTACACGAAATATCTGAGGGGGTGGGGGGTTGGCGAGTGTTTATGCTCGATCGAATTTCTTTTGCTCAAACGAGTCACTATTGTGTGACGATCATCTCATGCACATTTATTTATTTATTTTTTTTCTATACTCTATCATTGTTTTTGTTTTTTTTCTCTCTCATTCTCTCATATATTCATACTGGTGGAGCGTCAAAGACGTTGGTGTACACGAGTTGTAGGAAGGCATTGTCTTGTTTCAGGTGTCCTTGGACCAGGAGCTGGAGGCAGCCAATGAGAAGCTGGGGCAGCTACAGCAGACCAAGGATCAGCTGACCAGCGAGACGCACACGCAGGAACAGGAAGTTGCCTCCCTGAAGACGGACCTCTCCGACGTCCACTCACAGCTGTCCAGCGTTCGCTCAGAGCTGGACGGCAGTTCGCTGCAGTTGGAGGCGCTGAAGGAGGAGCTGGGCGGGGAAGTCTCGCGTTTGCAGGACAAAGTAGAGGCTCTTTCTAAGGATCTTTCTGACAAGTCAGCCAGCCTTGGGAAAGTGACGTCTGAGCTTGCCTCGGCTAACAGCGAGATTGAGGGGTTGAAATCCTCTCTCGAACAGTCTGACCAGTCGAATCGTGACCTTGAGCTGCAGGTGAAGCAGCTGACACGAGAGCTAGATGTGTCGAGGGATGGACAGAGCGAGAAAGGGAAGGAGTTTGAGGAGAAGACGCAGTCGCTTCTCTCCCAGCTCTCCGACCTGGAGGCTGAGCTGTCAGAGCAGCAGCGGCTGTCCAGCGAGCAGCAAGCGTCGGTGAATGATCTCACGTCCAAGCTTCAGCGCAGCGACGAGCAGCTTCAGAGTGTGACGGAGAACTCCTCCAAACTTCAGCTCGAGCTCGAAGCTTCTCGGTCCCAGCTGAAGGAGAAAGAATCGGAATACCAGCGGTCTTCCGAGGGGCAGAGAGCCTCTATTACGGCTCTTGAGTCTCAGCTGCAAGCTAAGGAGGGTGAGGTCTCCGAGGCGACGGGCGATGTGGAAAAACTTCGGGCAGAGCTGGAGGAGTCCCGGCGAGAGGCGAAGGAGAAGGGTGATAAGCTGCAGAGTGTTCAGGACAGTCTCCAAAGTGTGTCTAGTGATAATGTGAGTGTGAAACAAGAATTGACTTCTGTGTCCGCGGAGCTTGAAAAATTGAGAAAGTTGTGCGAAGACAAAGACGAAGCGCTGAGAGTCGTGAAAGAAAGCAGTGGTCAGTCCGTAGAATCTCTCACCGTGAATTTGACAGAAGTTCAGCAGGAGCTGGACAGTGTGAATAAGAAAAACGAACTCCTTAGTGCAGACTTGACCAGTGTGAATGAGAAGAATGCTGAGTTGCAAAATGTGTTAGAAAGCAAAGATTTGGAACTCTCTACATTCAAAACGAACTGTGAGGAGCTTCAGAGTCAGATTGAAAGTGTGTCTTCTGATTTGGAATCGTCCACCACCAAAGTGTCTGAGTTCAAATCTCAGAACGAATCTCTACAGCGACAGATCACCGACTACAGCCACAAACTGACCAGCATGTCGGATTCTCTCGACGAAGACGCGCGCCAGACGCAGGCTGTCCTGGAGAGGCTCCGGGAAGAGAAGGAAACTTCGGACACCCTGGTGGCCTCCCTGGAACGCCAGCTGGTGAGCCTGGAGGGGGAGCTTCAAGCGACGCGGGGCACCACCTCGGAAAAAGACGTTCAGGTGAACGTGCTGAGTGCGGAGCTGTCGGAGGAGCGCGATCGGGCAGACGGGCTCCAGCTAGCTCTACAGAAGCTCCAGGCCGACGGGGCACGCCAGGACCAGCAGGTGAGGGATTTGTGTGAGAGTAATCAGCTTGCCTCTCAGGACGTTTCTCGTCTACAGACCTCGCTCAACTCTGTCCAGTCAGAAAAGCATGCACTACAAGCCTCTGTCGAATCTATAACCGCATCACTCCATCAGCAATCTTTGCATGTTCAGTCTCTTTCAGATCAGTGTGCCCAAACCGAAAAATCCCTCACAGAAAAGTCACAGGAATGCTCGGAACTTTCACAAACTGTATTATCTTTGCAGACCTCACTAGATTCTAAGCATGCAGAATTCGTTTTGAAATGTGAATCACTGGATAGTTTGCAAGAAAAATTTGACTCAGAGCATGAACAGTTAGTGTTGCGTACTAATAAGCTTGATAACGTAGAAAAAGAATGCAGGCATGCCAAAGAACAAGTAGAGTCACTGAAGTTAAGTTTAGAGCAAGAGCACAACAGTTTTATGTCTCTGTCTCTGCAGGCAGAAACGCTTCAGCGAGATTTAGATGCGAGTAAAGAGGAGGTCTCGCGACTCACGGGCGTGCTAAATACACAGCAGACGCAGTTAGAGACTGTCACTCAGCAGTCGTTTAGTGAGCATTCCGTCCTGCAGCAGCAAGTTCTGTCCTTGACCTCTGAACTTGGAGAGAAGCAGATGCTGGTCACCGACTTGCACGGCCAGGTGGGCAAGCTGAGTGAGCAGACGGAGAGACTGGCGGAACAGCTGAGCGCTGAGGGAGAGGAGCTGGAACGTGTGAGAGGGCTGCTGGCGGAGAAGTCTGGGCAGATGGACGCTTTGTCTGCCGAGAAACAAGAGCTGGAGGGGAAGCATGTAGACTTGGGCGATGAGCTGAAGAAAAGTAGGGAAGAAACGGAGAGGCTGGCTTCTCAGCTGTGTGATAGTCATATGCAAATGCAGAACTCAGATTCTTTGGTGGAAAGTTTGCAGGCTGAACTGAAAAGTAAACAAAGTAATCTAGAGCAGGTGACTGCTCAGCTTAGCGAAGAGAAGCTAAAAGGTGATGAAATCTCTGGGAAGCTCGAATTGTCGTCTGAAAACTTGAGGAGTATGAATGCATTGTTGGAGGCAAAATCGTCTGAAATAGCTGGTTTACTCTCTCAACTGAAATCCCTCACCTCGGAAAAGAACTCGCTTCAGTCGCATCTTCAGGCACAGTCAGAGCAGCTGGAGGAGACGTGCGCCCAGGTCGTGGTCTCCGCCTCTGAGGTTGTCGATCTGAGGCAGGAGCTCGAGGACTCAGGAGAACGTCTGACAGACTCCCAGGGGGCGCTGGAGACGTCGCGTGCAGAGCTGAGCAACTACAGAGAACTGCTTCAGCAGACACAAGCCAATCTGGAAGAGGCCTTGACCTCGAAAGAGGCGGCACAGCGCGACCTCAAGACTCTGGCCGCGTCAGGGGACCAGAAGGAGGATGAGCTCCGCACCAGTTTGCTAGCTGTCCAGCAGGAAGTGACCTCACTCCAGGAACAGTTGGAATTGGTGAAAGTCGACCATCACACTCAGGTTGAAAGTCTGGAAATTGCTTTGACCACTCTCAAGTCAACATACACAGAGGAAGTTGATGAGCTGAAGAGCTCTATAGAAAGGGATGCTGAAGAAATGTCTAAAGTTAATGAAAAATTGAGTATCTCTGAAACAGAAAATGAAACTTTAAAAGTTGAGGTGCAAGCGTTGACTGACAAAGTGACATCCTCTGAAGAATTGGTCACTGTGAAAAACTCTGAACTAGAAACTCTGATGTCTCAGTTGGAGTCTGTGAGATCCGACCACCACGCTCAAGTGGAGGGTCTGGAAATGGCCCTGACCACCCTAAAGTCGACGTACGCCGATGAAGTGGACGAGCTGAAAGCTGTGGGAGCAAGTGAGAAGACAGAGGCCATGTCGCGACTGGAGTCACTTAGCAAAGAAAACAGCGATTTGCAAATTGAGATTGGTGGGTTGAAAGATTCTCTGTCAGAGAGGAGTCATGAAATGTCAGAACTAAAAGATTCAAATGACAAAACCGTGAAAGAGCTTTTGGAAGCTTCTGAAAAGTTAAGTGTTTCTGAAATGGAAATTGAGAACCTGAAACTTGAAGTGCAAACCTTGACAAATAAGGTAACATCTGCGAAAGAATTGGTCTCTGTTAAAAATTCTGAACTAGAAACTTTGATGTCTCAGTTAGAGTCTACGAGATCCGACCACCACGCTCAAGTGGAGGGTCTGGAAATTGCCTTGTCCACCCTAAAGTCAACGTATGCCGATGAAGTGGACGAGCTGAAAGCTGTGGGAGCCAGTGAGAAGACAGAGGTCATGTCGCGGCTGGAGGCGGTGGAGAGAGAGAAGGAGGAGCTACAGGCAGAGCTAGAAGAGAGAAGTTCTGAGCTGGGAGTGGAGCGTCGTGTGGCAGAGAAACTCAAGACCAAACTGGAGAGGAAGGACGAGGATTTGTCCCGAGCTTGTGAGGAGAAAGAGGCGGTGCTGACACAGAAAGGAGAGGACATTGCTAGATTGAGCAGTGAGATGAGGGAAGAGAGAGAAAAGTTAAGCAAGGAAAACAGTGATTTGCTGAAAAGTATTGATGAGTTGCAAATTTCCCTTTCCGAAAGAAGTCATGAGATTTCAGAACTAAAGGATTCCGATGAGAAAACTAAGAAAGAACTTTTGGAAGCAATTGAAAAGTTGAGTTCCTCTGAAACAGAAAATGAAACTTTAAAAGTTGAGGTGCATGCATTAACTGTCAAAGTGACATCCTCTGAAGAATTGGTCACTGTGAAAAACTCTGAACTAGAAACTCTGATGTCTCAGTTGGAGTCTGTGAGATCCGACCACCACGCTCAAGTGGAGGGTCTGGAAATGGCCCTGACCACCCTAAAGTCGACGTACGCCGACGAAGTGGACGAGCTGAAAGCTGTAGGAGCCAGTGAGAAGACAGAGGTCATGTCGCAGCTGGATGCACTTAGCAAAGAAAACAGCGATTTGCAAATTGAGATTGGTGGGTTGAAAGATTCTTTGTCAGAGAGGAGTCATGAAATGTCAGAACTAAAAGATTCAAATGACAAAACCATGAAAGAGCTTTTGGAAGCTTCTGAAAAGTTAAGTGTTTCTGAAATGGAAATTGAAAACCTGAAGCTTGAAGTGCAAGCCTTGACAAACAAGGTAACATCTGCGGACGAATTGGTCACTGTGAAAAACTCTGAACTAGAAACTCTGATGTCGCAGTTGGAGTCTACGAGATCCGACCACCATGCTCAAGTGGAGGGCCTGGAAATGGCCCTGACCACCCTAAAGTCGACGTATGCCGATGAAGTGGACGAGCTGAAAGCTGTAGGAGCCAGTGAGAAGACAGAGGTCATGTCACGACTGGAAGAGGTGGAGAGAGAGAAGGAGGAGCTACAGGCAGAGCTAGATGAGAGAAGTTCTGAGCTGGGAGTGGAGCGTCGTGTGGCAGAGGAACTCAAGACCAAACTGGAGAGGAAGGACGAGGATTTGTCCCGAGCTTGTGAGGAGAAAGAGGCGGTGCTAGGAGAACTGGAGTCTGTGAAGGAGCAGTGTCGGAGTACCAGCGAGGAGCTGGACTGTGTGAGCGCAGAGTGTGAGTCGGTGAGGAAACAGTACGAGGAGGAGGAGACGAAGCTCAGAGCGGCGGAAAATGATCTCAGTAGTCTTGTCAGTAAGAACGAGAGTGTGCTTGTGGAGTACGAAAGTCTGGCTCAGCGGCACAGGTCGGTGGAGGGAGAGAGAGACGCACTGCTGGGCAAAGTGAGTGAGCTGGAGCAGGTGAATGTGGAGCTGCAAGGGAAACGTGATGAGGTGACCGCAGATGTCGCTGAGCTCTCCTCTCAACTCCAGGCTGTTCGCAGAGAGCTGCAGTGCCTTAAGACCGACTTGGTGAGCAAAGAGGAGGAGAGTGTGCAAGTTTGTGCTGAGCGTGACGGTGTGAGAGAGAATTTTACAGCTCTGTCCACCAAATATGAGAATCTAGTCAGTGAAAGTGATGGTTTGAGAGAGAGCGTTCAGGCTCTGGAAGAGGAGGTGTTATCGCTCCAAATTGGGAACGGTGCCCTAGTCAGCGAGCTGGAATCCCAGACACTGCAGTCCGATGCTTTGTCTTCCAGTCTGGGAAGCCAGCTACAAGACAAGAGGACTTTGCTGTCTGCTGCCTTGGAACAATGTGTTCAGATGTGTTCCTCGCTAGCACCAGAAGGTGATGCCGCATCCTTGACTACTCTAGATGAAGGGATGAAGCTCATGCATGAGAACATTGTAGGTCTTAACCAGAGACTGGAGAAAAAGTCATCTGAAATTTCTTATTTACTTTCCAAATTGGAGTCCCTGGTCTCGGAGAAAAACTCTTTACAGTCACTGCTGCAGTCAACGACAGAACAGCTGGAAGAGACGAGTGCTCAGCTGGTGGTGTCGGGGTCTGAGGCCCTGGATCTACAGCAGAAGTCTGAGGCTCAGAGTGAAGAGATTGAGGAACTGGAGAGGTTGTTGGTGAGTCGAGCAGAGGAGTTGTCACAGGTCCGGGCAGGACATGAGGAGGAGATGAGTGGCTTACAGTTTGAGATAGACAAGAGTCAGTCTGCGCTAGAGACCAGGGAAGGAGAGATATCTGTGCTGAGGGAGAGGCTGGTGTCTGCAGAGGCGACCAGCGATGAACAGAATGTCAAACTGGGGTCTATGATAGACTCACTACAGCAGGAGGTGAGAGAGAAAGAAGAAACTGTGGATGAATTGAATGCGGAGAAGTTGGCTTTAGAGTCCAGGCTGAAGGAGGAATCAGAGGCGAAGACGGAGGCCTTGGAGACTGTGTTGCAGTCGCAGTTGGCTCTGAGCAATCTGGAGAAAGAACTCACAGATCTGAGGTCGGACAATGAAGAACAGGCCAAGAGCATGCAGGAGCTACAAGATCGTCTGGAGAGAGCAGCCAGTGAGGCCGAGGAAAAGTCTGAGGTGATTGAGAACCTGGAGGAGGAGGTGAGGGAGCTGAAGGCCGGCCTGGCCACGTCCAGTGCAGAGACTGCGGGCTACGAGGAGGCCTTGGAGGCCGCCAACAAGAAGGTGAGCAGTCTGGAAGTGGACAACTCTCTGCTCCAGCGCTCTCTGGAAAACTTACAGACTATGCTGGACAACTTCCAGGGGGAGATGAAGGAGACTGTGGAGTGTCTGCAGGCTTCGGTTCACGATAAGAAAGAAATTATTCTCTCTCTGGAGAATGAAGTGGTGAAGAAGAACAAGTCATTGGAGGAACTTGAGCAGGAATGTTCCAGAGCGAGGGAGCAGAATTCTCAGTTGGAAAGTGTGATACAGACAAAAGACGGTGTCGTCACTGAGCTTCAGGCGAACCTTGATCAGAAATTGCAGGAGATCGCTGAGCTGAAGGAGCGAGGGGATAGGTTGCAGACAAGTGAGTGGGAGAAATCTGAGAGAATTGAAAGTCTTTTGCAGACAGTGCAGGAGTTATCGGCCTCCCAGGAGACGCTGAGAGTGGAGAAGGAGGAGAAGCAGAGGAGTCTGGATGACAAGCTAACCAGTTTGAGCAGCACTCAGGAGAGGGTACTGGAGTTGGAGCAGCAGTTGGCAACCGCGCAACAACAGACAGTTGACCTGACAGAGGTGCTTACCTCTGTACAGCAGCAACTGGAAGCTGCCGAGGCTGAAAGGGAGACTCTGAACCGGGTTCACCAAGAGCTCAGCCACACTTGTGAAAGTTTGCGGATGGAACTGGAAGAGAAGAGCACGCTGGTCGTCACGCTGAAGGAGGATTTGTTGAAGACGGACGCTGAGCTGGTGGAGAAGGTGGCGGTGCTGGAGAAAGTGGAGCGGGTGCTGCGAGAGGTGTCGGAGGAGCTGAGGAGTAAGTCGGAGGAGTGCGAGAGGGTGACGGGAGAGCTGGGCGAGGCGCACAGTTTGGTGAGAAGCCATCAAACGCAGCTGGAGACACTGGCTCAGGAGTTGGGTGACGTCACGAAGGCCGATCAAGAGAAGCAGGAGAGGGTGTCTGTGTTAGAGCAAGAGCTGAAGAAAAATGGTGAAGAACTGCAGGAAAAGAGCAACGAGTGTGAAAAGTTGACAGCAGATCTAGAAAATACCCAGCAACTTTATTCTTCATTAAAGGAAGAGTCGAAGACATTGTTTAGCAAACTGGAGTTTACCAGTGAGGACAGGGCGAAGAAGGAGGAAGTGTTAGAAAATGTAGAACAGCTTCTGCAAGATGTCAAAATCGAGTTGGAGAAGAAATCGGAAGAATGTTCCCAAGTTCAGGCTGACTTAACCAGTGAAAGAAGTTCGTCTGAGAATCTGTTGCAGACGGTGGAACAGCTGAAAGCAGACTACAAAGAGCTGAAAGAAGATTTCAGAAAGAAAGAGGATCTATTGAAGAAAGTGGAGCAACTTTTGCAGGAGGTGAACATGGAGCTGGAGAGTAAGTCTCAGGAGCTCAGCGACAAGACACAGCAGTTTGAGGCCCAGGAGAGGAAGTACAGCCTGCAGGTGGAAGAGCTGGAGCACAGTGTGGAGGTGAACAAGAGCGGGCTGGAGCAAGTTCATGCCCAGCTGGATAGTTTACGCCTGGAACTCCAAGACAGAGAGGAGGAGTGTGAGAAGTATCGGGCAAACATCGAGGGGAAGGACGCCGAGCTGAATAATCTTCAGCAGAAGTTGTTTGTTCTCTCTGAAGACCAAGACGCGTCGGAACGGCAGCGTGAAGAGTACGCCCAACGAGTTGGAGATGTGACGAACACTTTACAGCTAAAAAACGCTGAGATCGAGCAGCTTCAGGGAGAAGTGAGGCAGTTTGAATCGGACGTAGCTCAAATGAAAGAACAAATCTCTGGGTTGGAAGAAATGAAGGCTGGGTTAGAATTTGAGGTAAATAAGAAGCTGGATACTATCTCTGCTCTAGAAGGAGATCTGAAGACGTCTGCTGGCAAAGTGGAGAGCCTGCAGCAAGAGTTGGGCGATCTGCAGTCTGCCAATGAAGCTGTCATGGTCCAGCTGTCTGCCAGGGAGGAGAGGGTCCGGCAGATAGAGGAGGAGCTGGGGTCAAAGGTCAGAGCTCTAGAAGAATCGACGGGTCAGGCGGACGCATACAAAGCGGTGATGGAAGAACTGAGGGATGAGCTGAGCTCTCGTAACACGGAACTCATCCTGCTACAGGAGGAGATAGCGTTGGTGGTGTCTGTCTGTGACTCGGCCCACTCCTCTGTGGCCACTGTGCTCATGCAGAGAAAGTGTCTGGAAGAGGAGAAGAAACTTCTGAAGGAGGACGCCGAGGCCAAACGGTGTCTCGCTGATGAGAGAGGTCAACAAGTGGAGGCTCTGAGCTTGGATTTGGCGGGGAAATCGGAAGAAATAACTCTCTTGAAATCACAAATCCAAAACAACCTGGAAAGCCTCCAGGAGGTTCAACAAATGAAAGAGACTGTGGAAGGAGAAAAAGGATCTGTTTTGTCTAAGCTGGCTGAGGTTCAAAAGGAGAAGGAGACCTTGACAGAACGGGTTGAGCTGTTACAGTCAACTGCAACTGAAGAGCAAAGGAAAGTGACGACTTTGGAGGAAGAGAAAACTCTTGCTATTAGTGAGAATGCTTCTGTGAAGTCTGAAATGGACAAGTATATCTCAGAACTTCAGGCTTCTTCTGAGCTCAACAACACTTTGTCTAAGGAAATTGAAGAGTTAAAGGCAGCTAACTCTGACCTGCTGCACACTGTAGAGGTGAAGGAACAGGGTTTGTCAGAGCAACGGAATATATCCAAGGTTCTGGTGGAAGAAAAGTGTGAGCTTCAGGAGCAGTGCCACGCTCTGACCTCCAGTGTCTCAAAAGCGAATGAAGATCTGCAGACTTTGGCAAGTGAGAAAGAGCAACTGCTGGAAGAAGTGAGAACTGCAAAGAGTTCGGTTGACGACACGAATCAGTTGCTAACATCCCAGCAGGAGTCAAACTCTGCATTAGGTTCACAGGTTCAAGAACTGCAGAGGGAAGTGTCCGGACTGAAGTCACTCCTAGATGACAGCCATCTCAAGCTGGAGGCCCGTGAGACAAACATAGAATCACTGACATCAGAGCTCGGCATGGAAAAGGTTCGCGCTTCGGAATTCGAGACGTCCTGTCTGTCTGCCAAGGAGGAGGTTGAGAGCCTGAGTCAGTTGAAAGCCGATTTGGAAGCGCAAGTGAGTAAGCTCGATTCTTTGCTTCAGGGTGTGAGGGAAGAGTTAGACGCGGTGGAGGTCAGTAGGGAACAGGTCAGGGGTCAGGCTGCCCAGTCTAACTCTTTGCTGGAGGAGGCCAACCAAAAGATTGCTAGCTTGACCCAGAGCGTGTCAGAACTGACCACTGCTTGCGAAGACATGGAGAAGTCATGCCAGGAGAAAGAGGAGAAGACTGAAGCTCTGAACCAAACACTAGAATCTCTTCAAACGGAAATGGAAAATCTGAGGAGCTCTCTTGAGGCAGAAAAATCGTCTGTGTCAAAAGAACAAAGTGCGTTTTTGAAACTTCAGGAGGAGAAGGAGATGCTTAAGGCAACACTCCATGAACAGTTGAGTAATGTGAGTTCCAGTCTGGAAGAGGCCTTAGCACAGAAGAAAGACCTTGAGGCACAGTTGAGCCATGTTCAAGAGAGCAAAGAACAACTCGATGTCCAGTGTGTAAAGCTTCAAGAGACGGTTGAAACGTTGACACAGGAAAATGTCCAGTTGACCGTTTCTCACAAGGAGTACCAAGACGCCACAGAGAAGATGTCAGCAGATCTAATGATGGAGATTGAATCTGTTGAACAGCTGAAACAGAAATCTGAGCAGGAGAAACTGGACCTGCTGCAGGAGAAGGAAGAGAGAGTGGCGTCGTTTGAGAGCATGGTGAGCGTCCTGACGTCCCAGCTGGAGCTGAAGGAACACGAGAAGGCACACGTGACGAGTGACTTGCAGCAGGTGCAGACGTCTCTCAGGGCTTCCGTTGCCGCTCTGACCTCACAGCTTGAGGCTGTCTCTCAGGAGAAAGTCCAGCTGGAGGAAGAGAAGAGGGTCATCTCCTCCTCCATGCAAGATGCCGCCGATGTTCTTCAGTCGGAGCTCGAGAAAATGAGTGAAGACAAAGCCAGGCTCGAGGAAGATAAGCTGTCCACGGTGAAAGAGCTGCAGGATCACATGACCTCCCTGCTGGAGAAAGTGGACTCGTTGACGCAGGAAGTGTCTCGGCTGAAAGAGGAGAACGGGCAACATGAGGAAAGACACGCTGAGTTGTCTGCCAGTTTGCAGAGTGTTCAGAGAGAAAAGTTAAGCCTGAAAGACACAGCTGCAGAGTTGACTGACAAGTTGAAAAAGTCAGAAGATCAAGTGAAAGGTCTTCAGGAGAATAATGCTGAATTATCGGAGAATCTGAGTTTGTCGTCAGCGAAACTGAAAAGCGTGTCTAGTCACCTGCAAGAGACGGTTGAACACCTCCAGTCATTTATCACAGAGCAGAGCACCATCATCACAGTGTTGCAGGAGGACTCTCTCAAACAGCAGGATACAGAACATGCCCTTCTGTCCATCGCCGCCTCCTCAAAAAAACTGATTCTGGACAGCCGGAAGAAAGCAGACAATTTACAGAAAGAGCTGGATGCCACTCAGGAAGCTAAGGCTACACTTATGAAGGAGAGCGAGGCTCTGAGCCGGCAGCTGGAGGAAGTCTCGGAGATGTTCCACGAGATGTCGGAGGAGAAAACCAAGATGGAGAAGTCGCTAGGCGAATCTGTCACCGAGTTGTACGAAGCTTTAGACAAAACGGAGAAAGAGACTGCTGAGAAAGTGGAACATATCTCAGAACTGGAGACCAAACTGAGTGAAAGCCGGGAAGAGGCAGAGAGGCTACAAGATAAGCTGAAGGAGGAATTGCAGATGGAGAAGGACAAATATAACAATTTGATATCCACTCAAAAAGCAACCATGATGGAAAGAGATGGTGAGGTGGACTCATTCAGGAAGGAATTGCTTTCTCTACAAGAGAACAACGCACTTCTGCAGGCTGAGGCACATCGGAAAGACGAGGAAATTCAGACATACCAGACCAGATACCAGACCACCATTCTAGAGCTGCAGGCTCAGATTCAGGCCTTTGAGCAGGAGCTGCAGGCGTCCCAGGACAGTCTGTCGGAGGCCCAGGTGCAGGAGCAAGTACAGAGCTCACACATTTCTTCTCTGCAGTCGGAGCTGGAGGAGAAAACGAGGGAGCTTTTCCGTCTGCAGTCTGACGCCACCAGCGTGCAGCGGGAGTTGCAGGAGAAACAAGACGTGATAGTCTCACTTGAAGAAGAGAAGTTTGCCCTTGATCAGGTTGTCATGGAACTAAAAGAAGATGTAGCTACGCGGAAAACTGCTGTGTCTACGCTTGAAGAAGAAAAGGCTGCTCTCCTGAATGAGCTTACGAGCAGTCAGACTCAGCTGGTAGAGACAAATCAAGCACTACAGACAAGTTTAGAAAGTCACCTGGAAGAAATAACTACCCTCAAGTCATCATTTGCAGAGAAATCGGAAGAACTGTCAATTGTCCAAGTGCAGCACAGTATTCTCTCTCCACTCGTTGAAGAACTCAATGAAAAATTGTTCTCCATGGAGACACGCTACCTTCTTCTTGATCAGGAGCGAAGTTTACAGCAAGATCAGCGCAAGAGGGAAGTTGAAGCTCTGCAAAGCAGACTGAAAACATTGGAGGAAGAGGGAGATAGGAAAACGGAAGAGCTTTCTGCAACGGCAGAGGCAGAATCCCAGAGACTTTACCACCAGATATTTGAGATGGAGGAACAGCTCGAGCAGAAGGACTCACGGCTCAGCGACCTCCAGGTGAAGTACAACGCCGTGCACGAGTCCTTCTTAGACCTCACCTCGGAACTGAAGGACTTGAAGGACCATCTCCAGGACTACAAGAAGTCGCAGATTGACTCGGAGAAGATCATCGCGTCTCTAGAGAACAAACATCAGGAGAAGGAGCGGAGAGTCCAGGAGCTTAACTCCCAGCTCAAGTCCTCTCACCAGCATGTGGAGGCTGTTCAGAGCGAGCTCGGGGAGTCCATTTCTGAGATCTCTCGAAAAGGATCTGTCATCAGGGATCTTGAGACTGAGGTCGAGAGTTTGCTGAAAGCCAAGGATTCCGCCGATACTGAGGTTGTCTCCATGAAGGAGTCATGCCGAGAGCTGCAGATGATGGTGGATATTCTGAAGGAGGAGAAACAGAACAACGACAAGATGTTGAGCCACAACCTGGAGAGAGTCAACACCGCTTTGTTTGAGGAGAGAACCAAGAACGGCAAGATGCAGAAGGGAATTAGAGAGCTGAAAAATAGTCTTCAGAAAATTATGAAAGAAAGACAGCACGTGGAAGAAGGCCTGTCTAAGAAAGCGGAAAATTTGCAAACTGCTGTGTCTAAGAAGAAAAATGAGCTTGAAAGACTAGGAGCTTTCATTGAAGAATGCAGAACGACCCAGACAGATGTAAAAGATAGTTTGGAACGTTTCAGAGCTGAGGATCAACACGTGAAGACAGATCTAGCGAACACCAAACAGTCCATTGAGAGGAGCATTTCCAATTGTAATGACGTCACCTCCAACGTTTCCAAACTGCTAGAAGAGATGACTTCCAACAAATGCCTGCTGGATGCTGCCAAGGAAGATGTGCATCACATCCAAGAGGCGTCTAAACTATGCCACGAGACTCTGTCCGAGCTGAAGGAACGTCTGAGAGCAGAGGTGGAAGAGAAGGAGCACCTGCAGCAAGCGTTCAGCGACCTGAATGCCTCGCTCGTTTCCCTCAAGGCCCTGCTGGATTCGTCACAAGAAGATCTCCGTGGAGAGGTGGAGAAGCACAGAAGTCTGGCGAAGGAACTGAAGGAAAGTCTCGTGGTCCAGCAGAGATTGCAAGGGGAAGTGAGCAACATGCGCGAACAGCTCGCTCACACCCTGGACATGGTGGCCAAAGCTGACGCCAAGCTCCAGGAACAAGCGTCGGTCAGTGAGCACCTGAGCTCAGAGCTGGAGGCTTTGTCCAGTCAGCAGGACGAGAGTCTGGCTCACATGGGTAAAGAGAAGGAAGCCTTAGAGCAGGAGTGTAACAAGCTGGAAGAGCTGCTGAGTTTGGAGAAAGAGGCTACCGTCAGCTTGAGCCAGGAGTTGTCGAAGGCTGCGGAGGAGTACGGGTTCTTGAAGCAGGTGTCTGACTTCACGACCAGAGAACTCCAGGAGCTGAAGCAGGTGTCCACGGAAGATGGGATTGCTTTAGAAGAAACGAAAGTTCGCTTGCATGAATCGACCGTTGCGTATGAGAAGCTGAGTGTGGAAATGTCTCGAGTTCAGGAAAGCTTGACTAAAAATATGGACGACAGCTTTGTGCAGGTGAAAGAGAAGAGTTCGGAAGTGGCCAGTCTGCAGCAAGAGCTGACCACGAAAGAGGAGGAAGTAGGTCATCTGAACGGCTTGCTGAAGGAGATCCGAATGGACTTGGACGAGAAAGTGAGTCAAATTGAAGTGATCACCAACCTCCACCAGACTATGGATGACAAGGTGGCCTCGCTGGAAGCCAGTCTCTCTGCCTTGTACAGGGAGAAATTGTCCTTATCGTCAGAAATCTCTGAGTTGCAGACCCGACTTCAGAGTTTGACCACCGAAAAGTCTTCAGTTGAGACAAATCTGAAACATCGCAATGCCAATCTGGAAGAGGAGAAACAGGTAGTCTGTCAGCAGCTGGTGGAGCAGCAGTCTCACAACGCCAGCCTGAGTGAGGAGAGTGGTCAGTTGAAGAAGACTCTGGAAGAAATGGCTGTTGAGTTAGAGAGTGAGCGCTCTCGAAGTGCCGAACTTAGCCGTGAGAATGACTCACTTTCTGGTGCAATTGTAGATTTAGAGAAATCGCTGCAGGAGCTAACATCTCAGAAGTCGGATCTAGAGAAATCCTTGCAAGAGTTGATGAATCAGAAGTCAGAGCTTGAGAAATCACAAGAGGAATTAATGAAACGAACAGAGACACTAACGTCTGCCTCGGCGTCTCAGTCTTCCGAGAGAGAAATTCTGGAACAGAGCTTTCAGAACATGCAAGAAAGTCTGCAGGAGTCGGAGGTCAAATTACAGAACGAAGTGGCCAAGTCTTCCAGTCTAGAGCACCAGGTGGAGGAGCTGCAGGAAGAGTTGAGGAACCTGCTGAAGGGGAAGGAGAGAGAAGAGGAGACGATGACCTCTCTCCAGGCACAGCTCCAGGAGGGTCAGCTAGATCAGGCCAAGCTGAAGGAACAACTGGAGGAACTGGCTGTAGAGAAAGAGAACATGACAGCGTGCATGGTGGAGATTCAGCAGAACTTGGCTCAAAAACAAGAGGAACTCCAGTCTGTCTCCTCTGCTTTTGAAAAGGCCAGAGAGGAAGGTGAAGCTCGTAAGGATCAAGTGGCGGAGTTGCGGGAAGAAAATAAGAGCTTGAGTGATTCAGAGGCGGCTCTGAGAGAAAAAGTAACTTCTCTGGAAGAAGATCTGAATAATGTTGCCGGTGTCTCTTCTGAGGCGAGCCAACAGCTGTTGAATAAGTCTGGGGAAGTGGCCATTCTGTCCAGCGAGCTGGAGACTTTGAGGCATCAGTGTGACACTCAATCATCCCTTCAGGCTAGACTGGCTCACGAGAACACTGTCCTGGAGTCAAAGGTGGAAGAATTGTTTATCTCTTCAGACTGGAATCAGGAGGAAGTTGACATGCTAGTGAAAACCCTTTCCGAGTCGATGGAAGTCTTTGAGACTTGTTTGAGCATTCTAGATGAGTCGAAGGCTGCGCAGGAAGAGAGTTTGGTGGCTGATGCTGACAGTCCTGAGAATATCACAAGAGAGGAGGATGGCAGTGATCTTTTGTCTGCTGGTGATAATCTTGCTCATGGTATTGAGGTTATTGCTTCACCAGTGGCTGTGAACCACGAGAGGGTTGGGAATAATGGATTTGTGACATCTACTCCCAATGCTGAATTCCGCCTGACCAATACGTCTCACGACTTCAGGGATGGAGAAGATTTGTCCAGAGTTGAACTCCCGGCTCAGAAGAGAGCTGTAGCAGATGTAAAGAAAATGTTTGAGCAAAAGCTTCACATGCTGAGGAAGAGTTTTGGGAACGTGGTCGGGGAGAAAACGGCCATGGAACAGGACCAGAAGAACTTGCTGAGCCTGTTGGACGAGGCGGTGGCTCAACGTGAGGTGACGGAGACACAGCTTCAGGCCACACGGCTGTCGTGCCAGTCGCTGCAGGAGGAAGTGATGGAGATGAGTCGAGAGCTGAAGGAGCTGCACGAGGTCATGGCGGAGAAAGAGGTCAGCACCGAGCTCATCAATGAGGTGAAGGTCACCTTTGCGAAGGATGTGGAGGAGTTGAAGGCGTCGGTACAGTCGCTGGCAGAGGAAAAGGCCACTGAACAGATGGAGAAAGAGATTTTGTTGGACGTGTATGGGGAAACAGAAGAAAAGTGCTACAGAGTGGAGTCACAACTCTCTATTTTGAAGAGAGATTTGGGCACAAAAATACATAGTCTGGAAACCAATCTGGAGGAGGCCGTGAAAGACAGGGACAACCTGAGATCTGATCTGGAGTCTTCGAAAGAATTTTTTGAGGAAGAAATCCGTGAGTCACGGAGGCACCTGGAAGAGGTCACCTATGCCAGAGAGGAAAGCTCCAAGAGAGTGCAGGACCTTGAAGAGTTGAAAAAGATCTGGGAGATGGAGCTGGAATCTGCTCAGAGGCAGAAAGAGAAAGACGTTAAGGAGCTGCAGGTTTTGTTGGAGCAGTCGGAGAATGAGTACCAAGCTCTGGAAAAAGAGTTCGCGACCCTGAAGGAGGAGAAGACGGCCGGTGATGCAGAGCGTCTCCGGCTGTGTGACCAGATTGAGTCCTCCATCGAGAATGCTCGGTCTGAAATGGCCATTCTCACGCACAGAAACGCCAGCTTAGAGTCTGAACTTGGTGCTATGAAGCAGGAGCAAAGTGTGGAGTTTGAGGTGAAGCGGTGTATAGAAGAGAAACTTCAGCTTTTGCTTCAAGAGAATGAAGAGGTCAAAACAGAACTTTCTGAATTATCAGCACAAAATGCTCACTTGAAAGAAGTAGTTGAAAAGATGAATCAGGAAATTGAAACCCTTGAAGAGACGGTAGTGGCTAAGGATAAAGAAATAGAATCTCAGAAGGGACAGATTGTTGAGCTGGAAGAAGTACGCCTGAGTCGGGAGACCTCCTTAGCGAATCTTGCAAGTCAGGTAGAACATCTGCAATACGCAGCACATCACGTAGACATGAAATACTCCTCACACCCCACCCGTTTGATTTCTGCTTCCCCCTTAGCTTCCCCTGTTCCTCTTTCTCCCACCTCTTCATTTGATTCCTCCCCAACCCGCTCCGTCTCAACCACAGCTGTAGAAAATGGTGTTTTGGTGGAGGAAATGGTACGTCCCTCACAAGCTTGCTTTCCTCAGATGTCCAGCAGGCCAGCCGCGGCGGGGACGACAGATTTAGAAGCCAGGGTCTTCGCCCAGAGTCTGGAGAAAGAACTGAGGACGGCGGAGTATGGTCGAGAGGGAGATTCTTCCTCTACAGACCCGTCTCCGCTTGTGACAGGTAGGGAGGCAGACCTACAGCGACTCTCGGCGGAGCTGGAGAGCGTCACAGCAGAGCGAACGGCTCTGGAGGCAATGGTTTCTAATCTGAGGACGGAGCTGGAAGGTATGACATCGGCAAAGCAGGAGCTGGAGAAGAGTCTAAAGAAGAAAGAGAAAGTCATCCAAGGTTTGCACCTCAAGGCCAAGAAGTCTGCTAAACAGGCCAAACAGCAAGGCGCAGAGGAAGTGGCGGCCTCGTCTCCCGCACAGCCAGAGGATCCCTTCCTGTCTCTGTCGTGGTCGCAGTCTGCTGAAGACCTGTCCGATCTACCGGAGGAGGAGCGAAAATTCCGGCAGCTTCTCATGCAGTATCAGTCCGTGGCCGTTGAGAAGGACACCCTGAAGGAGCTCATCAGTGAGAAGGACGCCGAGATCGTCCGCCTTCAGACGCGCTACTACGACGCGGAGATCCTGTGGAACGAGAGCAGGGAGCTGCATGAGAGGGAGAAGTCACAACTTTTAGAGAAACTAGATAGCGAGGACAGCGCGGCCCAGGCTTTGTCCCACAACAAGCAGGTCCTGGAGGCGGAGCTACAGGTGGCCACGCAGGAGCTCATGTCCACCTCACAGAGGCTGGAGGAGTCACAGAAGTCTGGCGTGTCCGAGGCTGACCGCGTGCTCCAGCTGGAACAGCAGCTGCACGAGGCGTCGCAGCAGGTGGTTGCTCACAAGGAGACCATCAGCCTCCTGGAGAACCTGGTACAGGAGAGGGCAACCTTTGTGGAATCACTTCAAGCGGAGATTTCGACCAAGTCTGAAATGGCAGCATCTCTCCAGCAGCAGATTGTTGATGCTAAGGGCTTCTTTGATGCAGATCGCACCAAACTGCAGTCAGACTTGAGCATTGTGATGTCTGAAAACACTTCTTTGAAAGAAAAAGTGACATTTTTAGAAGGTATTCAGCAAGGTAGTAGTGAAAGTTCTGAATTATTTGAGACTCGAATTCAATCCCTTGAAGCTAGTGTGGAGGAAAAACAAAACCACATAACAAGTTTGTTGCAGGAAGTGGAGGAGAGGGATAACAAGGTCAGCGTGATGGAAACGGTTATGAAGGAAATGTACGGGACTCAGGATGAAAACAGTACGAAAATCGGACATTTGTCCTTGGATTTAGACACGACCAAAAAAGACCTTGAGAAGCTTCAAGCTGAAATGGAAGAGACTAAGAAAACACTGAAGAAGAAAGATGCCAAAATCGCTGCTCTCACAAAACGAATAAGTTCTTCCACACCAAAGAAAGAGAAGCTACCATCGCTGCCCGAGTCCCCTGTTGCCCAGGAGACGGAGAATCCCCTGATTGTTGTCTCACAGGAAGGGGATCAGCCTCAGACAAGTCCGGAGTCTGCGGCCGCTCCCATCACAGACTCCCCCAGTATTGTGGACTCTCTGAAGGCAGAAGTGACGGGCCTCAGAAAACTGCTCAAGAAAAAAGAAGCCTCACTGTTGTCCTCGAATAAAAAGCTGAAAGCCCTTCAGGCGGAGCATGGCCGCATGTCGTCTGCCCCAAGTGTAGAGTCTGTTGCCGAGGATGTTTCGAGACTTTCGTCTTCCCTCCGTGGCGCGTCGTCTTTGTACGACAGCCGCTCCACGCTGCACAGCGATGACGTCCAAGAGCTGAGCGACAGGCTCCGACAGAGTGAGCAGAACCGCGAGAGCTTGGAGGCCAATGTGCGGGAGCTGGAGATAGAACTGGATACCTCCAAGGAAGATATTCAGAAACTGCGCCATGACTTTGAGGACGTTCAGGAAGAGTTACACTTTGTCACCGGGGACAAGCGGGCCTTGGAGAACTGCGTGTTTGACATCAAGGACATGGTCAACTCCCAAGTCGTGGAGCAGTTTGCCGGGGAAGATCTGCTCTACTCTACTGCCGAGTCGGTGCGACTGGTGGTGGAGGAAAAGTTCATGGCAGAGAAACATCTGTCAGATGTGAGGGCATGGCTGGCGGAGACGGAGAAGGAGAAAGATTCGATGGCCGCTCAACTAGAGGAGCTGAAGGAGAAGGTGAGGCAGTCTGAGAGTGACGCTGAGCCTCTTAGGAAAAAGTACGAGGAGACGTGGCAGCAACTTGAGCAGACCATCTCCACAAAGGCAGAGTTGGAGGAACGGCTCGAGTCCATGAAAGCTGAGGTGACCAGCTCAGGCGCTGAGAGACTGGAGAGAGAGAAAGAGTTGCAGGGCTTGGTACAGCAGTCTTCGGTGAAACTCAAGGAATTGATGGCGGAGCTAGAACAAGCCCGGCTCGAGAACGAGTCTCTCAAACAGAATATTCTGGAAGTTGAGCGGACCCATAGTGAGAACTCAGCCCATGACAAAGAGGCACACGATCAGCAGATCCAGGCTGTGCGTGATCAACTGGCTCAGGCCCAGGAAGAGAGGCAGGTGCTGTACGGACAGCTTCAGAGCTATGCGGAGCAGATCACAAATGTGCAGAGCTCTCAAGCAGCAGCTGACGAGTACATGAACCAGATGCATTCCAAACTGAGGGAAACGGAGGAGTTCTATGTGAACAAAACCGAAGAGTTGTCTTCTAAGTTGGAGAACTCTGAACGATTTATCTCTGCAGCATCTGAGAAAGAGCTTGAAATGCTGCAAAAACTCGGAGCTTTAAAAGAAATGAATGTGTCTTTACAGTCTAAGGTCGAATCGACCGAGCAGGCTTTCAGAAGTCTGCAAACATCTCAGCAGGAGAAAGAGACTGCTGCAGTCTCTCTCTCCAGTGAACTGTCAGAGGCTCAAAGTAAAGCGAGTGAGCTACGCACGATGCTCAAGAATAAAGAAGGCAAATTGTCGAGCCTGTGTGAGCAGCATGATGAGCTGGCCGTGCAGTACGAGAGGCTGCAGAACCAGATCCTGAAGGTGGAGTCTGACTGTCAGAGTTTGAGAGACGAGAGAGACCGTCTAGGATCAGAGAACCAAACCCTGGCCGCTCAGCTTGAGCAAATGAGAGGTGTGAGCTCGCAGTGGGAGGTGGAGAATCAGACGCTGCGGGAACACATGCAATATTTTCAGCAGGCGGAGCAGCAGCGAGAGCTGGAGAGCCAGAGTCTGCAGCGGTCAGCAGCCGAACAGAAAGATGTCGTGCAGTCTAAGGAGCAGGAGAAGCTGGCTCTGGTACAGCAGCTGGAAGTGTTGGAGATGAGGCTCCGGGAACACAATGCTGAGATGGACAGCGCAAAAGCTCACCGAGAGAAGCTCCAACGAGATGAACAGTTCTACAGAGAGCGTGTGTCCATGCTGGAAAGTGAACTGTCTCAAGAGAAACAGGCTCTTGAAACCGCTCTTGACTCAAACAGCAAATACCAGCAGGCTGTTGTGGATAAAGATGACTGCATTCAAAGACTTCAGGAGAGTTTGTCGTCACTGCAAGATGATGTGTCCAGCAAAGATAAATCTCTCTCAGACCTACAGCAGCAGGTCCAGTCACTGTCGGGTGCTGTGTCCCTGGACGACTCTCGTCAACAGAGCATAGACAGCCTGCAGCAAGAACTGAATATCAAGTCACAATCTGTGGCCTCCCTTCAGGAGCAATATGTTTCCTTACAAACCTCATCGGCTGCTAGTGTCCGGGATCTCGAAGATGAGCTCCGAGCTTTGACAGCAACGCTAAAAGAGAAGGAAGAATTGGTCAGTCTGGTTCCTCAGCTGCAAAAGCAGCTTGCAGAAGTGAAGGAAGAGGCAGTTTCAGAGAATGAGAGGCATGTCAGTGCTGTAGATGAGTTGCGTAAAGAAATTGTGGGTTTGCAGGCAGAGAGAGATGCTGCAAAGTTGGCACAAGAGGGTGAGGAACAGCAGGTGTCATGGCTGAACGCCACACTGGAGGACAGTAAGGTCAGGATAGAAGCTCTAGAGGTGGAGGTGAGGAGGTGTGAGAACGTTATCCACACGCAGGAGTTGGAGCTGCACTCCTTCCGCACACAGCTTACTCAGGGGAGTGAATCTAGCACACAACAAGTGGCTGTGCTCAGCTCTTCTCTCGCAGAAGAGCAAAGAAAAAGTCACGAGTTTTCCCTTATGATTGAGAAACTACAATCGGATCTGAACCTGAAAATTGCTGAAGTCGAATTTATATCTCAAGAGAGATCTGGACTTTCGGGTGAGGTTACGGACTTGTCGAAAAAGTTGTCTGATGCAGACGCAATGCTAGTCGGTGTGGGTGAGGAGAGGGAAGCGTGGAGGCTTCAGTTTGAGCAATCTCAGTTACACGTGAGTGAACTCTCCACGCAGGTCAGGTCTTTGCAGCAAAGTTTAGAGCAGACTAAGATGGAGAGCAATGGTGATAAAGACTCTGTAAGCACAACACAAGAAGTGTCGCTTTCTGCTCCTTCTGCCTTGGACAATAACGAAGTCGTTTCGGCTCAAACTGACAAACTGTCGGCGAAGATCACCACTTTACAGAAGAATGTGAAGAAGCGTGATGCAAAAATTGTGGCCATTTCGAAGAAGCTGGAGAAGTCTGAGGCAGAAGTCTCAAGCATGAAGGAGAGACTGTTTCAGCTGGAGTCTGCCTCTTCCTCCTCCTCCTCCTCAGTGCCTGTGGTGGTGGAGGAGGAGAGACAAGAATCTCAGACGACTTTCACCAGCCACTCTGCGTCTTCCTATTTCTCCCAAACCTCCCAGGAGTTATTCCCCGTCGCTGCCTCGTCTTTGGCAGCTATGTCTTCCAGTGGGGACACCACTCCTTCTGTTTCCGCTACTGCTGTCCAGGACTGGCAGGTAGAGGGAACAACTCCAGCCAGTGAGGAGAAACCGCCGGTCAGTGTAAACAACGACTCAGGTTTCACATCCGTCCTCCAGGAGTCTGATCTGTCCACCACCGGTCAGACCTCACTGATGGCCTCCTCTGGACAGAGTGTAGGCTCAGGCGGACAGGTGGAGGTGGAGTCTCTGCAGATGAACGTGGAAAGCCTGCAGCAAAAGCTGGCTGCCACAGAGGTGGAGCTTCGAGAGTCTCAAGCTCGCATTGTCTCCCTGGAGTCGGAGAGTGAGAGCCTGAGGGAGGCGTCGTCGCTCGGCGCACAACAACATGTAAGGGTTAAGAGAAGAGAGTTTTGCTTCTGCCGGCTCGTGTCAGTGCACGGTTGTAACTTTTGACACAGCCTTTCTCGTGAGTCTGAGGGAGAGCTGCGTTTTTCTGTCTTCTAATTGTTGAGCCAGATAAAAATGTCAAAGATGTTGAAATTTGCATAGTTTTATGATCTTGTAGAATAATTACAATCAGTAAAAAATGCAAAATTTTGTTAAAAGGACTACACAAATTTACCATTGTATGTTTTTCAACAATGTATTTCTTCTGTTGGATTTAAATGTATATCTACACAGCAAATTATATTTGTGGTAAGGGCATACTTTTTTTTGTAAGCACTGGAGGTTTTGGTTGACTTTTGTTTCTCTGTTGATCATCAGAAGGTGGGGCTCCTTTTGCTGTGACCTCAGACTCACGTGCTGGTCTTTTCATGCTTTGTTGCCAATAACTTGTGTCTGTTGCACTGAGACATGACCAGTACTAAGCAGCACTGGCTGGGAGTTAGACAAGATGTTGCCACTTGCTACTCGGAAACTGTTGGGTTTTTTTTTGTACAGTCATTATGTCTTGTCCAACTGCTGTGCCCTTTACAACTCCACATCACACCACATAGGGCATGCATGCTGCAACTCTTGTTTATAAGCGCTGCATGAAATCGCATACGGCTATTATTATTCCAGTGCGGACTCGTGCTATAGCGGAAAAAGTCCCATCTATGAACGCAATGTGTTATCATGTACTTTTGTGAAATCTTAATGCTCTTCCGACTAATCATAGCATGATTAACTTCTCTGTGCGTGCTCATAATTTCTGTTTTGTGTTGATGTCGGCTAGCTGTCTCAAAATTGTTGTAAATCTTTGTTGAAACAGAATGATTTCAATAGTCATGGAGGTAGAAATAGGCAGGCTCTGTGATAAAACTTAAAATAACTTTAAGACTCAGCGGTAAAGAAATTGTGGGTTTCAGTCATGTTTGGTTCAACATTGGGAATTTTTGTAGAGTATGGTGGAGTCTACTGAAGTGGACTTGACCTTTTTAGTTTTAGTTATGGGGTGGATTTTTTTGTTGCAAATAGTGCTGTGCATGGTCACAATGCACATGCACAAGACACTCATATTATCCAGACTTTAGTACTGAATACTCATAGAGAAACAAATCTAAATCAAGCAGTGGTCTTATTTCCTTTATGAAGTGAGAATTTATTTAAATCTGAGTTTGTTAGTACATGGACTCCATTGTAATCGTGGGTAAACATTTTTTTGTTTATGCCTCCCATTTTGTTGTTCCAGTTGAAAGTGATTTGGCATCTGTTGCTATTTCTAGACGGTAGTTTGTCTGAAATTGTTTCGTTCAGATGTGTTGTTGACACGTTCGGTATGACATGCTCGGTACATTTGGTACTGTTTTCGTGCCTTTAGGCTCTCTGGTAGTGAGGCTGCTGTGTTGACCTTTGTGTTTTGCCCAAACTTCACAGTGACTGTACAGTTTTGTACTGAAAAAGACTCACATCTGTGGCTTACCCGACTCACATCTGTGGCTTACCCTACTCACATCTGTGGCTTACCCTACTCACAACTACTTTTCCCTGTACTATATCCATAGTTGTACTCTCTCTCTCTCTCTCTCTCTCTCTCTCTCTCTCTCTCTCTCTCTCTCTCTCTCTCTCTCTCTCTTCCTCCTCCCGGCTGTACCTCATTCATGCGCACCCTCTCTTTCTTTTCCATCTCTCCCACAAATGTTCCTGCTCTTTGTCACCATTCTTTCACAGCCCTCCTTCAGGTCATCCATGAACAGATATGTACACAATTCACCCGTGACAGATATCCTCCTTCTGCAATAATGTAAATACCTTGGTATTCTCCCCGTACTTCGCGGGTGCTGTTGTTCTCAGATAAATTTGCACAGCGGCGCACTGCGGTACGTGGTATACAGAGACCGTAATAACCGAGCGAAATCAATCAGGAACTGCTGAGTGAGTGCCACTGCTTCATCCGTCCAGACCACATTTCATTCTCGTTTTCCTTTCCGTTAATTTGTCCAAGTATTCCTTTCTCCCTGACCCACATCCCACATTCTGGTAAGCTCCATCTCCCCCCCCCC